TCAGTTTTTATTTTTTCTACGACTATTTGTGACATTTCGATAAAAAATAAACACAGGGTTTTTTAATTGAATATGTCTGTCATCTTATAGTATTTTTAAATTTTTTTAAATATGTTGATAATAGACCAAAACATGTACCGAAACACAAGCCGGTATCGTTAATTTTGTAGAAAATGGCAACGAAAATTCGTTTTTACAATATAAAAAACTACTATTTTCAACAAAAGAGTTACAGACGTTTGCAGATGAAGAACCAATATATACATGGTAGTTTTTACTTATATTCTGATTTGGTTTAGTTTTGTCACAGTCAAATCTACTGGCCGAAAAACACCCTAATTTTGGTTGATTTGCAAACGCGTCCTTAAAGAGAGCGGAATCGAAGTAGATAGTAAAGCCCAAACTTTTGTTACAGCAAAACTTTAAAATTCGTATTAGTGAAGTAAAGTAGAAGTTTTATGAATGCAACGCAAATGGTAGATGATGCCTGGGCCTGGCCGGGAAAGGACAATGCTTATACATAATAACTAGCGGGATTTCGTACGATGAGTGACAAGAACCTGATACCCTTATAGGTGTTTATGGACCACAACGTCTAATTATAATAAGGTTGACTGTGCGTTCGTTAGTCATAAAGAATGTTAGAATAAAGTAGGTATCCCATTTTGCCATTATTGTTCAAATCACGTAAACCAACACCAATAAATAATAAACATAATAAAATCGTTAAAATGGCTTTTATTCAATACAAATCAATTATTTAGACAAAGAAACTAATTTTAATTAATTCACAAGCTGTTAAAGGCATGCTATAATTACTATGCTTATAAGAAACGCCAATTTAATTAGACAATTTATTTTATATGTGCGACATTCGCCAAAACCTTTCGAGATTTTTATGCTTTTATATATATATATATATATATATATATATATATATATATATATATATATATTATAAAAATACGTGTGGCACTCGGTGACTGCCGCGGTAAAGCTATTGCATAGCATTTTTTATCAACTTATGGAATTATAATTATTTATTTATTTTATTTATGCAGTTAAGTCTTTGATATTAAATCAAGTTACACTTTTGAGAGTGGTGACCGATAAGAAAACAATTTTTTTTCTCTTATTGAATAAATGAGAAGTTAATATTGTTTAAAATATTTTTAATATCTTACAATACATGTAGGCTATTCAGGAATTTTTATCATTCAGTTAGCAGCTTGTGTACACGCATACGTGTAGTCGCACGCACACAAACACCGTGCCGAACTCTGCCGAGTGCCGAAGTCTGCCGAACTGAAACGACGTTAGACGATGCACGGCTTTCAAGCTTTCAACGCCACACCTCCGTGCCCGTCGGAGTGGGGAGCGTGAGGTTTTTTTTCGTTACGGAATTTCTGGATTCGGTCCCCGCGCTCAAGGCCCGCGATAGAAGCTATGCAATAGCTTAAAAATATGCGAGTATGATATAACTTAGTTTGAGATAATATACTCTCGATTCCGACCAAAACAAAGCAATTTATTTAGTCAAGTTTTATATATTTACTAGTTAACTTTATCTTACAATCAAACAACTACATTCTAATACCACCCTAAAGGCACAAAGATCGTATAAAGTCGTGACTAACGATTATTTTCATCAAAACCTTGAAGTCTGCGATATATTGATATTTGATTTTGAATAATACATTAGATAGTGCATAATGGCAAAAAATACTCCGCCAACGGTTCGCGGTTACGGGTCAACATAAATTACGAACAGGTTTGTCCATAACCATGGCCAACTTTACGTTTTAATAACAGCACATTAGCTGTAGTATATAAAATACACAAACTTTATTATTGAATACAGTTATAAAACTATTGCCTCGTTAGTCTTGTGTTCGTAAGCGCATCTGATGATTATTTTTAGCCCTAAATTTTTTTCAAGTTATATCAGAAATTTCTAATTCAATACGCGTTTTCGTCTCAGGTTCGAATCCTCGGGTCGGGCCAAAAAATCAGTAACCGGGTTTTTCGTAAAGAAATTTTTAGTAGCAGCACGTAGTCAGAAAGTTGGCGTTACTTCACTCAGATGTCCCGAAAAACACGTAAAGTTGTTTGTCCTGCGACTGATTTCTTTCCGGTCGTATTGTATTGCTGTCCAGTCGGATGGTTGGAATATGAGTGAGAAAAAAGCGAATGCACCTGTGCACACACTCGTGCATTATTAGTGGCAGTCCTACGGAACTTACGGAAATTCCATCTGGAGGACATTAAAATATTAATAATTACCGCCAACTATCTAGTTGGCGGTAAACCATCACAAGCAACTCTACGTCCGTGCTGTACTACCATGTATGAAATCAATTATTTGTCCGTGTTTCTATAGCTTGCTGTTAAATGTATTTTAACATAAGTCGATATTTAAAAATGTCGATTTACCCTAATCTTATTTTCCAAATCTTCAATCTGGCAGGCAAACAAGTACCTAGTGATTTCGATTGGGCTTAAACAATGATTGGAACCTGTTTTGTACAAATCATCCAACCCGTAAAACTGGCCAAATTAATGATCCAAAAGATTCTTTTTTTTTTCTAATTATGAAAGACTTCTGAAAAATAACAAGTAATCCCAAAATCTACATTCAATTTTCTCTAAAACGATGTACATAATATAACATTATTAAAATGCCTCTGCTACAAGAAAAATTTATTTATCTTTCAAATCTAAATAATTTCGGTTTTGTGGGTTGTAACATTTCTTCACAACACGGTAAAATTATAGGCTTGCATTCACAGGGTTAAGCGATCATTCGCCAGTCAGTTAAATTACAACACTACGTCTTCATCAGCTTACCAAATCGTTAATGTAAAAGTAACACCTATAGTGGCCCAATAACAGGGCACTAGCTTCCTCTCCTTTTTGATAAGGTTTTTATAGACATTTCTTAATACATGCACATTTTAACAGGTGAGAGAAGAACTTCTTTACTGCCGAAGATTGGGAAGGTACCTCCTATTTCTAGCGCCAAATATCAGTGCTTGCAGTGCTATATTACGGTTTAAAGGGTGTAGAACTATGAGCCTGTATTATTACAGTTTTCAGAGCCTTATTTGTTTAAAGTCATAAGTGTCCATGGGCTACAGCAGCCACTTATCATCAGGTGGACTATGAACTCGTTCGTCACTTGGGTTTTAAAATATCTCTATAGATTATGATCACAGAAATCGTAATAATATTACTATTTCTGTGATTGCGATTAACAATTTCAGTGGTGCTGGCGGAGGTCGATCTCAGGTTGCTCGCGTGCAAAATTAAATTGAAGACGACCACCACCCAGTTCCCTAAAATTCCACGGCTCTCAATTAAGCAGCTTTTCATGAGTCTATTAATTTATAAAAGCCTGATATAGGTATACAAGTTTTTCTAGTAACTTGGTTAACGAACGGCCTTCTATGTGAAATACTGCAAAATGCAAAAGCAGTCTTCCGCATTATATTCGTAAAACATTCGTAAGACATTCGGAAAATTAGATTATGGTAAAAATAACATGTTAATATCGACAGATGTCAAGAAGTCATTTAACGGTAAGCCACCGAAACAAGGACAAAAACTCGATCCAATACGCGGACAGCTTCCAAAAGCGCAGGTGCGGAAATCGCTGTACTGTAAGGCAGGTGTTATCCATAGTGGAAAGGTGTTTAAAAACATTGGCAGACATGTATTACCCGCTTAGTTTGTTTATTTCATAGCAACAAAAACGATTCTCGGGTGACTTATCGCTTTACGCAACGTATGGATGAGTGGGTGAGATGTGCAAAAAAATTAATACCGAATGAAGTAGGCTCAGCAGCGCGTTTGACGGCAGTATATTGGGTGAGGCTTATATTGAGGAGCAGAAGTATTTCTTGTTCCACGTTATGATGGTGTTTTAAGTTGAAGATCAGGTTTATTTGTGTGCTTACGTCCAGCAGCCTGCGCCTAACTGCCTACTAAATAACCTACGCACCTCCTTTATACATGGAACCTCGAATAAAATCAATTTAATTGTATTTTTAATTCAATATTCGGTTTCGTATCGAAATTCTACCACAAAATACTCTAATCCTATACCTTTAAACGAGCAATTCTTGTATATATATAATCGGGATCTCGGAAACGGCTCCAACGTTTTTCATAAAATTTAGTGTCCAGGGAGTTTCGGGGGCAATAAATCGATCTAGCTAGGATTTTTAGACAATGTCCTTTTGTCCGTGTTTTCAGGCAATAAAAAAACTGCTACAATATAAGAAAAATATAGTAAATTTTGACAGGTTACCAACGATCGTAATAGCTCAGATGGGATGTTGTTCGGGCGTGATATCGGAGTTCCGTGGTTCGCGTCCCGTTGGGTCCGACTTTTTTTTTCAAGTTCCCTTCTTTTGTGAGAAAATCTATTATTTTGAGCTCTTTTTTTTAGTATTTTTTTAAAAATACGAAAATTTTAATTAAACTAATTGCACTCATGATTTTTTATTCAAATAACCAGTTCAGTTTTTTCTATTAGGTATGTCAAAAAGATTAAAAACTATTATTCATATAATTTGTATATAAATGTAACTTAAAAAAACCGAGCAAAGCTCGGTCATCCGGGTACTATATCTAAATCCAAAGAGGTGATGTCTGTAACTCAATCCATCCATAAACTAGAGATCGTTGACATACCTACGGGCCAATAGACGGACAGATAGACAGACCGAGAAACAGACAGACAGCAAATTAACATTAATAGGGCTCTATTTTACTCTTTGACTACGGAACCCTAAAAGTGTCAACCGACTTCAAGTGTCATTGTGACTAGTTGACATTTATTTCCCATAAAAGTGTACCCCTTCAATAAAAATTTGTTCAAGTGCGTGCAATGCGGAAATAGTATAGTTTTTATTGTTTAGGACGGTGATCAGGCAATAAACAAAATATGGAACACAAAATTGCTAAAGCTAATACACTGTAATTATATAACAACTTACCTCTTCTAAACGAAGCGGCTCTTCAAGACCAGCTGCAATCCTTTCTCGCTTCTCCCTCTCCTTTCTTTCTTTTTTCTCTTTCTTTCGTTTTTCCTTGTCACCATCGCGTTCCTCGTAGCCGCCAGAATCATGAGCTAGGACCGTTGATTTCTTCATGAAGTTAAACATGGCGGCGGCGTTGAGCTGCAACCAAAACGAAAAGATCAATTAAATATTCAATATTTATTTCAATATCCAAATATTTATTTACATATATTGATGACAGGAAAACTACAGCATATTGTAATAATACTTAATTATTATAATAAATGATCGAATGCAAATTAGGTACCTACAGTTTTCCTTAAATTAACATGGTAGTAAATATTTGCAAGACCTGTACATCATATTGTATATTTATAGTCGAAGAGCTGGCGACAAAAACGCCAAGATTTGTAATGGCCAATAATTCAATATGATTAAATATTGAGGGTGTACATGACTCAGCACCCACTCGCAAGGCCAGGTAGTAGAACACCAGCTTTGATGTGTGTAAAATTACAACATGCTCTATATTTGTTTTGTAATAATTGAAAAAGACACTAAACTAATCCTATACCTTTAAACGAGCAAATACATAATATATATATATATATATATATATATATATATATATATTATTTTTTATCGGAATCTCGGAAACGGCTCCAATGATTTTCATAAAATTTAGTGTCCAGGGAGTTTCGGGGGCAATAAATCGATCTAGCTAGGATTAATTTTTTAGAAAATGTCTTTTTGTCCGTGTTTTCAGGCAATGAAAAACTGCTACAATATAAGAAGGTACATTTTGATACTGTGTTAATGATCGTAATAGCTTAAGTGGATATAGAGTGCTCGCGGAATCGTAATGCCTTGGCTCGCGTCCTGTCTTCGGTCCGACTTTTTCCCTTTTTTTTTCAAGTTCCCTTCTTTTGTGAAAAAATCTATTATTTCGAGCTCTTTTTTAGTATTTTTTTAAATACGAAAATTTTTATTAAGCTAATGCACTCATGAAGAGAAAAAACTGAAATGGTTATTTGAATAAAAAATTCAAATAACCAGTTCATTTTTTTTTATTATGTCAATAAGATCAAAAATATTATTCATGTTTCATCACTATATATATAATTTGTATCTAAATATAATTTCCAAAACACACGATTTACAAAAAAAATACCGAGGAAAGCTCGGTCATCCAGGTACTTTATAATAAAAATGTGAGAAAGTGACTACCTGAACCTGCGTGTGGGTACTGGCTCATGTACATCCTTAGTACTAAATCATTTTGAAATATATTACAAAACTTGTCGATTTTTGTCGCCAGCTCTTGGACTATTAAATTAACAACCATTTTGTTTTCTTTTAACATAAATATCAAAGATTATAACTAAACGATCTTAGTTCATGTTTTAGTTACGCACAAAGTAGCTAGATATCAGACTAAAGGTAACATTAGTGGGAAAATCCAATAGTTAAAACATTTAAACAAAAATCTCGACTGGGTAAAAATATTTAGTTTTATTATATCCTAAAAATTTCTTATATTTACGCGAACACTACACATTGAAATAATACTAGTTTTTACGGATTTTATCGCGTATATTTAACTATAAATACCCGACGTTTCGAGCGCTTTACAGCACCCATGGTCACAGGGAGACTGAGATGTTCAACGTTCAAATGTCATAGTTAACAGCGGTTACTATAGATAAAAATTTAATTTTTGTTTCGATCTACACAGTATGAACTTATTGGTATCTTGAAGTCTTGCAGCTGTATGCTTGGGTTGGGATTTAATTTTATTTATTATAGGATCCCAAGCAGATGGTAGCACCCAGCCATCTTCTCTATTGAAATTAGGATGTTTTTTGATTTCAATAGCCTCGCGAATCATCCTTGGAAGGAATCGGTGTTCTTTAGCGAGGATTTGTGGTCTATCAAATCTGATGTAGTGACGGGGGCGATCCTGTACGTGTTCACAGACTGCAGACTTCCCGGAGCGTCGATTCTTCACATCAGCTATATGTTCTTTGACTCGGGTTTTAATTGATCTTTTAGTTTGTCCTATGTAGGAGAGACCACACTCACAATCAAGCTTGTACACTCCTGCATCTTGCAGAGGGACGTTACACTTGACTGATGGTAAAAACTGACCAATCTTCTTCGGCGGCTTGAAGTATGTTTTGATGGAAGCGCGCTACAAGATGAGCCAATCTTGTCAGTGACTCCTCTAACATATGGCAGTACAGCAGGTACACGCTCGACTGTGGCCGGCTTCACTCGTTCACTGTGACGTAGGCGCGGGACCCGAAGCTTGTTGTCATGCAAAACTTGCTTGACATGGTGGAGCTCGGCAGCCAGGTGTTTACTGTCACAGATCCCTCGTGCTCTCTGTTTCAGTTCTTCTCTGTTTCAGAGAGCACGAGGGATAAATAAAATTAAATCCCAACCCAAGCATACAACTGCAAGACTTCAAGATACCGTAAGTTCATACTGTGTAGATCGGAACAAAAGTTAAATTTTTATCTATGGTAACCGCTGTTAACTACGTCATTTGAACGTTGAACATCTCAGTCCCCCTGCGACCATGGGTGCTGTAAAGCGCTCGAAACGTCGGGTATTTATAGTTAAATATACGCGATAAAATCCGTAAAAACTAGTATTATTTCAATTTATTATATCCTGTTAAAATCTACGAAGCATAAAAATTACTGTGACGTCGGAGAAAAAGCATCTTCTATGCAGCCACGTTTAAGACAATCAGACCGACTCGGAGATAGCGCTTTGCGGCTTATGTAGCCGACACGTAAAACTGATTGATGTCTGCATTACTGTAAGCGGCGAGCGTTTATTTACTTTGAAGCATGAGATATTAGTGGGTAACAGAACATATAAGTGTAATTTATAGTGATGACTAAGCACAGACATCTTTTTTTATTAAAATTTTTTACATAGATAAGGGTAGAAAATAAAAACATTGAAGAACTAAAAAGAATATAAAATAATTTTACATTCTGGAGGCTTTTATTTTTCTTAGATACAAAATGACTTACCACCTTAACAGAAAACCCACAAACAACAGTTATTTATTTCTTCCTTTGTGGAATAAGCAATATATATCACAAATCACAATCTCAATGTTGTCTAAATTAATTTTGTATCTTTTTTCAGTAGTATTAGTTGAGTTGAGTTTATTCAGTTGTATAATTCATTCAAAACATTAAAAACTTCAACTCTAATGAGGCAATAAGGGGCGTAATATTTTCTCCAAATTTATATACCTAGGACTAGGACCACCAGTGAAGTATAACCTATTTAATAAAAAAAAGAATCATCAAAATCTACTAAAGTTAAAAATTAACGAACATATCGCGTCACATACAAACAAAAGAGGCATTTTTTAAGTCCAGTGAAATTGTAAACCTTCTCATTTTTTTAAATCGGTTAAAACATGACAAACAGTACACTCCCATAGTAAGTGAATGTTCATGGTCCATAGAATCCCATATCTATACTTCATTACGAATGAAAATGTAGATCCAGTGGTAAATTTAAAAAAGTGACTTTCAATAAGTATTATTTATAATTAAAACCTATATTGAATAAAAAGTTTCTGTTTCTTACTCTTTCTTTGCACTTACTTAGCTGTAATGTCACAATATCAGTAAAAATGGTATTTAATTCTACTTTACAACACACAACGAATCACAGAAGAATAAACAAGCTGACTATTTCACGCTGGTATTCATCCTTCCCCTTTCGGGCCAAATCATTCCTAATCCAGCTATGATACTGCTTACTAAAAAAAGAAATCATTTGCATGTTCCTGAACGCGACGACTTACAACAGTTTTTGAGTAAAATCGAACCTGTTATCAACAAACTTGTTAAAAATCATCAAATTCATCCATCTCATTAAATTAGTTTTAAAATTAAAATAGATTACCTATCTATATTGTTTCTCTTAATTTGATTAAAATATATTCTTAATATTATAAAGTTGTGTTTTAATTGCTAATACATTACAGCACGACGACTTGTAAAAATAAAATATATTTTTTATATAGCATTGGGTGACAAACGAGCACATAGTCCACCTGATGGTAAGTGGATACTGTGGCTATAGACATTTAAGAATCAAAATGCAAATGCGTTGTCTCTCCTGAGGACTAAGATGGAATGCCTCGTTTCCAGTAAAAGGCTCTCCGGTTCTCTACACTCACCATACGAAAGTATTCTGTGACAGCTTGGTTCTGCCCCGGTCGAGCCGACCCATTCGTGCTACAACTATAAAATAGCTGCAGCGCGGCTGTACCACGTGTTTTATTCATTAATTACATGATTTGATTGATTGGTTACATGGAAATTGAACAATCATAATTTAATTAAATAAAAATGTTCCATTTAATGCCCTTTCAGTCGTTATGACTTCTTGAATCCCCTCAATTTGATTAAGTAATCATGCAGAAAACTACAGTAACCTCATGAAAGCTAATGCCGATTTTCCGTAACATAATTTGAAGTCGGTTATCTCATTTGTTTGTACTTAACATTAAATCCGAAACCAACTGTATAGTCATCGAGCTATTGTCTCTAACTAATCGAATGAACAAATCATCAACGAACGAAATCTTGCAATGTTTGCACAGCAACGAGCTATTAAATATGATTTATAACATAATGCTGTTGTGCGACTAAATAAACAAGCTTTAGAAGTTACAGAAGAACCGAATCAATGTTGAAAATAAAGTTTTATTATTAATAACAAAATATAACTATACGAATTAAAATTGAGAAAATGAATATGTCCAACGAGTACGATAGAATTTAAAACATTTAAAGGAAAGATACATGTCCAGATGGGGCAAAGCTGGCATTAACTACGAAAAGTTTAGCCTTGAGAAAGGCCTGCGTCTATTCACCACGAGACTATTTAGGGCTAATGACGAAGCTTATGTATGAAATAAAACGAACACAGCTATATACACTCCCGGACACATCTCTCGGTCTACCTTGCCATTTAAAATGTTCTGATGAATTAATAAAGAGTTGAGAAAAGTTGAGAAGAATCTTTTCTACAGTTTTAAAGCTGGTCCATAAATCTTCTTTTTCGTATATTTTTAAATTTCGAATTGCGAATTAAGAAAAACAAAAGAAAATTCGAGTATGTTCATTGTTTTCAAAAACCAAGGGAGAAAAATATTAATTTGCTTAGGTTGGATTTTAATCTTTCTGATTATTTTTTCCATAACTAAGATATTCTAATATGAACAATAACATTATGGATACTCCGCCTGAAATTGCCGCCAAAACTTTTTCACTTCTGAATCCCAGGCTTAGCCAGAAAAACATAAATGCACAACTTAATTTGAGCCAATCTGCTATTAGTAAAGTTTATCAGAGGCACTTGGGGACTAGCAGCTTCAATCCTCGTCAAGAAAGCTCACGATCTCGAGTGATAATTGAAAGGCAAGACCTTACTGCCAGCTTGAGAAACCGTCGCCGCGTTTATTTATTTGAAGCTAGGGGCAATCAAAAGTTAAAACGCAAGGTGGATTGCTACATATATCCGGGAGGTTATAATACAAACCAAGACAGGCGAAAATCAATCAGAGCGTTTCCGTTATGAGGCCAGGTAGATCGTCTACATACTTCCAACGAAACAAAAGCAATAGACGTGACAAACTGTTACAATAGATAAACCGTTATAATCTGGAAGCGATAGCTCACTTCAAACTAACTGTCAACACATTCTATAATAGTGTGTGCTGTGAATTAAATGAGCATGGGCGTGAATGCAATGTGAACGATCGTGCGACAATCGACTCAGCACGCACCGGGCATCATTGCTAAGCTCTTCACTTATATACTGCTCATACGCAGGACTGGCTGAATGGCACGTGTTAATAAAAAAAAACTTGTGTTCACTTCACACGCGGTAGAAAGGAAACCTTCAGAAAAGGAGACTGAGATAACAGGAAACCCTATCTTATTCTCTCGCAGGCTAAATCTTATAGATGTATATTTGTCTCTTTTTAATGTAGCTTTTTCGTTTTATCGATATTTTAATCACGATTTTTATGTAGTTTTCACTACAAAAACGAATACTTAACACAAAATAAAATCATTTCGACAAGCGATATAAATAATTTTAACCATAAATCCAACTACGTCAGTATGCAGGCTATATATAAATCTAATTTAAATAAACTTTAATGCATTGAAATAACATGAAGTACGTATTAATTCAGTGCTTTGATGACTTTTCACGATAATGTAACTGAAAATTCACTTAAGAAAAATACCTTCGCATTAACGTAATATTTACGAAAATAGTTACATTTACAGACAA